GAATGGGTACAATTTAAACCCTTTAACGAGTATCAAGCAGAGGGCAAGTCTGGTGCCAGCAGCCGCGGTAATTCCAGCTCTGCTAATACATAGAATTATTGCTGCGGTTAAAAAGCTCGTAGTTGGATTCGTATCGGTACCTTGGAACCCTTCGGGTGTTTCTGGGTGTTATCGATTTATCGTAATGTTCGGTTTTGAGTCCTTAACAGGATTTTTAACAGTCATTGCAAGTTTACTTTGAACAAATCAGAGTGCTTCAAACAGGCGTTTTCGCTTGAATGATTGTGCATGGAATAATAGAAAACGATTTCGGTTCAGTTTTATTGGTTTTACGGACTGAGATAATGGTTAACAGAGACAAACGGGGGCATTTGTATGGCCCCGTGAGAGGTGAAATTCTTGGACCGTGGCCGGACAAACTACAGCGAAAGCATTTGCCAAGAATGTCTTCATTAATCAAGAACGAAAGTCAGAGGTTCGAAGGCGATCAGATACCGCCCTAGTTCTGACCGTAAACGATGCCAACTAGCGATCCGCTGATGGAAATTATATTGCCTTGGTGGGGAGCTTCCCGGAAACGAAAGTCTTCCGGTTCCGGGGGAAGTATGGTTGCAAAGCTGAAACTTAAAGGAATTGACGGAAGGGCACCACCAGGAGTGGAGCCTGCGGCTTAATTTGACTCAACACGGGGAAACTCACCCGGCCCGGACACTGTGAGGATTGACAGATTGATAGCTTTTTCATGATTCAGTGGATGGTGGTGCATGGCCGTTCTTAGTTCGTGGAGTGATTTGTCTGGTTTATTCCGATAACGAGCGAGACTCTAACCTACTAAATAGTTGGTACATACTCTTTGTGTATACAGCTTCTTAGAGGGATTTGCGGCGTTCAGCCGAAAGAAATTGAGCAATAACAGGTCTGTGATGCCCTTAGATGTCCGGGGCTGCACGCGCGCTACACTGGCAAAATCAACGTGCTTGTCCTACCCTGAAAGGGGCGGGTAAACCATTGAAAATTTGCCGTGATTGGGATCGGAAATTGCAATTATTTTCCGTGAACGAGGAATTCCAAGTAAGTGCGAGTCATCAGCTCGCGTTGATTACGTCCCTGCCCTTTGTACACACCGCCCGTCGCTGCCCGGGACTGAGCCATTTCGAGAAATTTGGGGACCGTTGATTTAATTTATCTAAATTATTTTGATGGAAACCAATTTAATCGCAGTGGCTTGAACCGGGCAAAAGTCGTAACAAGGTAGCTGTAGGTGAACCTGCTGCTGGATCATTACTTTATGTGATGTTCAATTTTGAATCGCAATGAAATAATTGTTGTGTAACGGCTGTCGCTGGTGTCTAGGTGTTGCTGATACAGTTGTGAACGTCCGTGGCTGTATATGTGGTGACATGTTAGGACTATAATGAGTTTAAGACTTAATGAGCCTCTTAAGTGAGGACGCCAGCACTCTTTTTTTATATTTAAAAAAAAACAAAATTCCTAGCCTTTCCGGTGGATCACTAGGCTCGTGGATCGATGAAGAACGCAGCAAACTGCGATAAGTTTTGCGAACTGCAGCAGCCTTGAGCATAAAAGTTTTGAACGCATATTGCCGCATAGGGGTCAAACCCTTTGCTATGTCTGGTTCAGGGTCATTATCTTTCAAAGCGAAAGCTTTATTGTATAATTGCTTTTGTGGCTTCTTTATGTTTTAAATTGATTGTTAGATATGTTTAATTGTTCGCATGTATCATCAACAATATTGATTTTTTGACCTGAACTCAGTCGAGAGCACCCGCTGAACTTAAGCATATCAGTAAGCGGAGGAAAAGAAACTAAACAGGATTCCCCTAGTAACGGCGAGTGAATAGGGAAATGTCCATCGCTAAATCATTTTGCCTAAGGCATTATGAGGTGTAGCGTATAAGCCGTAATTTTTAATCTTTTGTCTCAAATAAGTCCCCTTGACAGGGGTTCCACAGAAGGTGCAAGTCCTGTACATTGAGATAATTGATCGATATTTACGTGCTTTAGAGTCGGGTTGTTTGGGATCGCAGCCCAAAGTCGGTGGTAAACTTCATCTAAGACTCAATATTGCCACGAGACCGATAGCAAACAAGTACTGTGAAGGAAAGTTGCAAAGCACTTTGAAGAGAGAGTTAAAGAGGACGTGAAACCGGAGAGGTGGAAACGGATAGAGTCGGCGTATCTTTCAAGTATTCATTTACATTATTTTTATGTTGTGATCTCTGAGCTCCAGATTGGGACAGAAAGAAGCATCATAATTTTCTGTGATGCATTTGCTTGTTTGGTGCTTGGGGATGTTTGAGGCAGATTTGTAACCGCCGTTTTGAGGCCAGCTTGCTGGTACCCAAACAGCGTTAGCATCTTTTGTCTTGGACATTTGAGTATGGTTTACGGGCATTTATTGGTTCGATCTGATTGTAAGTTACGGTCGCATGCGACACGTGCTTTTCATTTAGATCGGTCCAGTTAATGCTCTCGTACTCGCTCCCCATGTAAAAGCCGGTCATCTATCCGACCCGTCTTGAAACACGGACCAAGGAGTTTATCGTGTGCGCAAGTTTTTGGGTGTTAAAAACCTAAAAGCGAAATGAAAGTAAATGGCTCTTTAGAGTCTGACGTGCGATCTTGTAAAAAAGGGCAGCATGGCCCCATTCTAACTGTTTACAGTAGGGTGGAGGAAGAGCGTACGCGGTGAGACCCGAAAGATGGTGAACTATTCCTGAGCAGGACGAAGCCAGAGGAAACTCTGGTGGAAGTCCGAAGCGGTTCTGACGTGCAAATCGATCGTCTGACTTGGGTATAGGGGCGAAAGACTAATCGAACCATCTAGTAGCTGGTTCCCTCTGAAGTTTCCCCCAGGATAGCTGGAGCTCATTAGTAGTTATACTCGGTAAAGCGAATGATTAGAGGACTTGGGAACGAAATGTTCTTAACCTATTCTCAAACTCTAAATGGGTATGATGTCAAAGTTGCTTGATTTTGAACTTTGGCGTTGAATACGAGTTCCAAGTGGGCCATTTTTGGTAAGCAGAACTGGCG